GGGAGGAACTGGTGATTGTTGACGCAGGATCAGAATTGCAGCCTTTATCATTATTAGGTTAATGATTACTGCATATGGGAGGTTATTTAAATCATACCCAACTGAGCCTGATTGTGTCCTGACCTGTGTATAAAATTCATATACACTATGTGTATTTTTTTAATTTGTTTAGAGAGATCAATTTTTAAAATTAGATATATATTAGTATATAAAATATAAAGAAAATATATATATGTTTAATATAAAAAAATTATTTATACATATCATAAAGGTTATAATACATTAGCTTTAATTTAATCCTAAAAATTTTTGTGCACAAAAATTTTTAGGATTAAATTAAAGACAATCATTATAATCTTTATGATATGTATAAATAATTTTTTTTATATGAAACATGTACCGTATTTTGTGAAGTAAAATACCCCTTAGCATAATACTCCTATTTTCTTTTTTAGTAATTTTGAGTAAAAGATCCGGTACTATGCATGGTTTATAATATGATCAGTTATATAGTACCTCTGTAGTATTGTATACGCTTCTATTACAGTACCCTTAGTAATGTACCCGGGTATTATTAAATATTTTCTTATGCCCCGGGTATTTTACTTCACAAAATACTGTATATATTTTCTTTATATTTTATAGAAAAAATCTATTTATAACAGCCTATTAATATTAGGGTTAGTGTTAGAGTTAGTGTCAAAGTTAGTGTTAGGGTTAGTGTTAAATTAGGTTTAAAGTCAATGTTAAAATTAATACAAAATTTCAAGATGATTATTTATTTATTTATTTTTTGGTTAATATAACCTTTTTGGTCTGAATGCTTTCATTAGAATTTGAAATAATGTTTTATATACAATTACAATGATGGTACATCAAGCACATGTGTACTTTTGATGCCTAATTTATGTAGTTTGCCCAAAGATTCTACACTATTTGCTGTACCTGCACCCCAACTACTAGGAGTACCCATTTAATTATCTGGTTACAACTGTTATCAGTTAATCATCTAACCCCAGGTTTTCCTCATTATACATACACAAATTTTGGTATCAACCTTTTATTAAAAGATATACTGACTACTTTAGGGCTTACTAACCATTTCTGGCTAGTCTATTCTTGAGGTAAACCTAACAGAGCAGTACATGTTCTACATATATATTTACCAGCATGTTTCTATAACTTCTTCCTAATTAGTATATATTGATTTGCTGGTTCATATATATATCTCATGCTACCTTTTGGATGTTACTATTCTATAGATATTTCTCAAGTACCAATCTTCCTAATTAGGCACCTATTATGTACTTCTTGCTCTTTTTTGGTTCATAACAACCTTGATACCCATATTCAGACTATCTTCTTACCCAGATTTTTATTAGTCCCTTTCTTACTTCTAGCCAGCAATCTGGAAGGGTTGGTCTTCTCTTGGTTCATACTTTCAGAGCATATACCTTTTTTCTCTAGTACATTAGCCTGTTTTTAGCTAGTGTGTTATCCATTTAAAGACTTGATAGCTTCTTTCTCAATTTTAGGCCTCAGTTCAAATTTAGCCTTCCTCCAAACTTGGGACTTGCCAAACAGGTTTTTGGCTATTCTAGTTTTCTGAATTTATTGTGCTGAAGCTTCTATTACTAGATGGTATGACCAGAGTTACAGATTAATCTAGATTCAACTAATAAATCACTATTAACTATACACATGCCATTTTTCAAAGTTATTACTAGTAGGATTTAAACTCTAGACTTGTTGCTTGGAGAGGGTGATAACTAGGCCACTACAATAAGTTACCACATCTCTAAGAGGATTATTTTTCATTAGTAGCGCAAAAAAGCAGTGTTGTACATGGGACATGTCCACACTATGTAAAATGTCCAATGTCCAAGATTGTCCAAAATTGTTCAAGCCTATGTCCCATGTTTAACTAATCAATAAAGTAATTTAAAAATATATATAATTATATATTTTTTTAGGTGCTGGACACATTGATGAAAAAATTAAAATATATTATCTTAATAAAATTTTGAGTAATTTTAATTTGAAAAATGTTCAAAATTGTTCAAAATTGTCTTATATACAATACTGCAAAAGAGATTATCTTAGTAAAATTTTAAATTATAACTCAAACTATTATAAATAAGCATATAACAGGCTATTATAGACAGATTTATCTTTAAAATTTAATCTCAAAAATAAAAAGCTAAAACCAGAATATATTTAAAAATTTAATTTCAAAAATTACTATTAACTATCGAATAAAATTTATTTACTATGAAATTAAAGTTTTATTATCAAAAAGAATATATAATTTTTAAGTAGTTAGTATAGAGGTGTGATAACTTAGTGTAGTGGTCTAGTTGTTACTCTTTTCAAATAGCAGGTCTAGAGTTTGAATCCCACTAGTAACAATTTTGAAAAATAGGCCTGTATATAGTTGACGGCTTTCTATTAGTTAGATCTAGATTAATATATGATCTTGGTCACACTATCTAGTAATGGAAGCTTCGGTATAATAAATCCAGAGAACCAGAATAACTAAAAACCTGTTTGGTAAGTTCTGAGTTTGAAGGTAGCAATGATCTATAATGGTACTGCAGAAAGGCTAAATTTGAACCAAGGCCCAAGGTCAGAAAACTGAGCAACTAGGTACACTAGCTAAACTACTGGGTTGTTGCACTAAAGGAAAAGGATATATGGGCTGCCATCAATAGAAATCAAGCAAATCTACATTTGAAAAAAAATCAATACCTAAACTTTCACAGCTCATATCTTGATGAATTTTAAAGCTATCAAAAAAAAACTCTTTTCAACGATTATCTGAACCAAAATTTCCCACTAAACAAAAAAAAATTTTATTGAGATAGTTTATATAAAGGTTAACTTGCTTCTACGGGGAGACTCCTTTACACATTTGGTATACAAACTAGAAGTGTTAGGAAACAAGATAACTGGCAGAAGTTGGCATCCTTGGTTCCAAAATTCTGAAAAGAAGGTGCTCATGAGAAGTTGGGGCCTCTTGTCAACGAAGTAATCCATAATGTAAAAGAATAGAATAGAAGGAGAACAACAAATGAGTTTTTTATAACAACACTCTTTGGAAATTTGAAGACATTTTTTGAATAACATATAGCTGGCATGATTCAAAAGGAGCTTTAACATGAAACATGGGAAAAGGGACTTATTATAGGCACAGCACTTGTCGTTTAGAGGTAGTTCTCATATGCTACCTGTCAACAAGCTAAGAGTTTATCACTCACCGAAAAAACTTAGTACTGTGCAGGCTTGGGTAGATATTTCTTTGGTGTTTTCTTTTGGTTTTTTTTACCTCTCTCTTGCTTTTGCTGTTCTTTCCAAAATTTTTTAAAAAAAGTGGGCATTTGGGCTCACCCCCTCCAAAAGATCACATTGTTTACATCTTCTTAATTTAGATATACTCAGTAGAATACAACTACGTGTTTGTTTTGTTTATCAATATAGTGCTACAGTATGGGAAAGAGATCAGTGTTCCCATTTAGGAGATACTTGAGTTTCATCAGTGCCTGGAACGAGTCCTCTATGATAAGGTGATATCTTACAATTGAGATATATTAATTAGTTGCAATTATTATATAATTTTTATCCTTATGCCTAGCATGGGCTATAATAGTGTGTCATGGCTACCTTTCTTTTTTTTTTCACTTTTTTCATCTTTGTTCAATTATGTTAGACTATTTTAAAATTTGTTGAAAGTTTTTTTTTTCCACCATGAGGTGTTTTTTTTCTAAAATGTTTATGTTTTTCATAAACATAGCTTTACATTTTTCTTTTATGTACGAATAAGGGTTTTAATTGTATTGTCGGACTTAGGTAAAAGAAGTCTAAAAGAAGAAGAGGTAGTCATGATGGGTAACAAGGTCCACTGTTGAGAGCCGGGTTATATCCAATTGCAGTAGGGGTCCAAAAGGAGGGAAATCTTGCTATAGCAGGTCGAACATAGATACCAATTGAGGTAACCAAGTTAGTCTTAACTTGTAATTTAGATAATATTAGATTTAATACTACAGTGCTTGTCATTTAGAAATAGTTCTCATACGCTATCTGCTGACAAGTTAAGAGTTTATCACTTATCTTTTTAAATACAACTTAATGTAAAATTTTATGAATCTAAAAGAGTCATACAAAGCCTAATAAAGTTAAGGCATAACTGCCGAATTATAAAAAAAAAAGAAAAGAATTTTAAAGCTATCATAATATTTTAATATTTAAAAGAAAGCTTATGATTTAAGATTTATTTTAAATAATAAAGCATCAAAATATCTTTAAAATTTATCAAGATATAAGCTGTGAAATTTAAGGCATTAATTTTTATTCAAATAAAGATCTGCCTAATTTCTATTAATGGCATCTCATATGCTCTGAAAGTATGGACCAAGAAGAGGGTGTTCTTTAAGCACCTAAAGTCTGAGCAGACCGACTCTTCTGAGTTGTTGGCTAGAAGTAAAGAAGGACTAATAAAAAAACTGGATAAGAAGATAGTCTAAATGTGGATTGCTGGAACTAGAGCAAGAGCAAGGAGTATATAATAGACATCTAATTAGGAAGGTTAGTACTTGAGAAATATCCATACATTGTATGGTGCAAATACAGCAAGGTTAACTATTTTTTTTATTTCTTGTTTTATTGTTTTTTAAAAGTAAAATTAAAATTTTTTTTTATAATTAGCTGTATGATGGCTTTTTATACTGTACTAAATTTAGTACACCCATATTTGCAAAATAGCGGATCATAAAAAATTTTTTTTTTATTATCTATATTATAAAATATAAATAAAATTTATATTTTTGAATAAAGCAACATATAGTGATTTTTAAATATTAAAATTATTTAATTTTATTAAGTTTTGGTGTCTCTATAAATTTTATAAAACTGTCTATTTTTAGTACAAATCAATAAATCCAATCTATTAATAATATGTGTTAGATAGCTTTTAGATTTAAAATTTTGATGCTGTTTCTTCAGTTTCAGAACTTGTTCCTGGTGTAGGAATATAATTGTTTTTACGGATACAAAATCCGATAGTAAACGAAACTATTAATACAACAATAAGAACAATGCCACTAATAATTAATCCTTTGTAAATTGGATTATCAAACACATTATTAACATTAACCGATGGTTTTGGACAACTCGATTCGCCAGGTTTAAAAATGGTGACCCAGGATTTACATGGCAGATCCAATAAATAGATATACGGATTAGTTTCATTTGAGCTGGTTTCATTATTAGTAATGTTGCCTTTATTGTTCAAGAAAAAGATAAAATTAATTTATTTATAGATAACAGATAATTAATAATACTATGATAACAAATAAGATAATCACCGAAAGCAACGATCATATAATTCTGATATAAATTCACAGTATGGAATGCCAATGGAGGTGGTTGTGTTCCAGGATAACTTAGTTCAGAATATTCATAAGGTTCTGTTGTAATATCCAACGACACAAAAATTGGATATACAGTAGTAAGACTTAATACATAGCCTATAAATAAATGATCGTTTAGTATTGCCCTATAGATATACTTTATATAAATAAATTTCGTTAATAATTTACTTGAGGTTCCGCCTATTATAATAATTGTTTTATTATCTGGTGTTAAGGTTGCTGTATGACCTGCTCGAGCTTGAATAGGAATTGACGACTTTGCTATCTAGAAATATGATATAATGTTTATATATTAAGAAAATATAATGGCAATCACTATGAAAAAAAACATATACTGACTGTGTATGACCAGGTCAAAGAATTTGTATCAAATACTGAGATCTATAATTAAATTTTGGTTTGATATGAGAAAATGAAACTCTTAAATCGTAAAAGCCAATAGGCATATTTTGAATATGCGTCTTTTGGATATTTGATAAAAATAAATTACATTATTCATGTCAATTGGCAATGTAGCTTCTCCAGGAGAAATTTGATAAACACCTCCAATATAAAGAATTTTACCATTTTGAAGTAATATTGCAGGGCTATTACTCCGAGGAGAAGGAGCGTTGGCTGCATTAATTTGACTCCATTTTGACACGGTAGTGTCATATGTATATAAATCATTAAAACAAATAAGTGTAAGTGACCCAGTTTCTATCTGGGCTCTTCCTCCAAACATATATATTATTCTTCCATTCTGGTCTATTACTGTTGAAGTTGATCTACGTCTAATCATTGGTCCTCCTTGTGAATCAGGACTAAACCAAGATTGCACAGAAGGCCGGTAAACAAAAATAGGTTGATTTGTTACATTCCAAGTATTAATTAATTCGTTTATCATTAATGTTTGATTCGAAGTTATTGTTGCATTATTATCAATTTGATTAAGGAGTGTAAGGTTTTGTAATGTGCTTCCAACCAAATATACATCTTCCTTGCTAGGACCACCAACCACTGCAGTTCCTAGTGAATATATAATAAAGTATGTATAAATTATTCTTAAACTTTACTAAGCATATAAGTTTAATAGCTAACCTTTTTCGCTTCCATATGCCATTTGTGAATCAGGAAGTTTAACATATGATGGATTAATTGTAGAAAATTGTGATGTAAGATCCAAAGAAAAAACTTCATTTGATAAATTATATTTTCTTATTGAACTCTTTATTGGATTTCCGTCTGGAATTAGACGAGAGCCACCCATAAAATAAATCTGATTGTTAACTATTACTGCTACATGGCCACTTCTACCCTCTGGAGTGAAACAGTTTATTCCGAAAATCATACATGTAAAAATGAGTATAAATAAAATAATTTTGCTTGAAGATTTAAATCTTAAACTCCAAAAAGTGTACATGTTAATAATGAGCTAGTAAGAAATCGTAGTGCCAATTTGTTAATTTATAAGTTAAATTAATGATACACGAGATTACTCATTTGATAAATTAACTAAATTAATTACAAATTAAAGTGTTGCTCAATAGTACGTATAAGGAGGACACTTGCTAAAAAAGTACTGTATGAGAAATGAATACCAAGGAACGGAGTGGCTTAGTAATCATATCAGATATGCTTCGTAATATTACATATTTTTAATGGCAAAATCTCCAACTAATTGGGTGATGCATTAAATGCAGTGAAAACGTTTAAACATCACAATATGGTACTGTATTTAGGTCAATTTCTGCGATTTTCGATAAATTGGAAATGATCGTTTGTGTTAATTTTAGAGAAACGCTACCAAAATCGCAGAAATTTTATAATAGATTTTAAGCACTGATTTTTTGAGATCTGTTTAACCATACCGATGTACGTACGGTGCAGAAAATTTAAAAATCTCAATATTCTATGTATAGATGATGCATAAACTAGTAGCACATCGAACCTAAATTATTGATCTCAATAAGCAAAGAACAATATGTACGTAATAGCATGCTATTGAGATGACAAATTTAGTTTATCTTTAATGAGTTAGTTAACCTTTATTCTATATAAAGTGATTGAAGTTTTAAGGTTTCCTGCACCGTACGTGCCCTGAAAATTTGATCTGCGACATATGTTGTTACTATCAAATTGCAACAGTCTGTACAAATCGGGTTCTAGACTCCGTAGGAAATGCTAGTTGGAAATTACAGGTTTCCTAAGTTGGTAGTCTGTACGATGTATTAACCACTAGATTTAGTTATTTGTACCAGGAACGGAGTGATATGCAATATCACGAAGTATATGGTTACTATAGCAAGTTAAGTGATGTGCGTCCATAAAATCTCATAACTGATTGCGTTAAATGCAATGAAACGTGAAATTCTGCACTTAAACTAGTGCTCCGCAAACTCAAGTTAAAATTTGAATCCCAAATCAAATATTTGATCAAATCAAATATTTGACCAAATCAAATATTTGACCAAATCAAATCGATCAAACAGATCAAATAAAAATCTATATGCATTTTTAAGTTTGTTTGTTAATGTAATAAATATGCATATTAGGGTTGCGCCCCAAACCTACTTAGTTTAATCTAGAGTAAAATTTTGACTTTTGATAACCATTTTTTTGCTTCACTATATAAAAATATGCTGATAGCTATGAATCACTGGTCATCTGCTATATTTAATAATTAAGAAAATTCGAATTCTCTATACAATCCAAAAGATATATTGGTATGTGATATATCATTAGGCTAGGCGAAGTTAATTTTTTGGTTCTCATAACCCGACCAGGTCATACTGATATTTTGAATTGAAGTAGAAAAGTATTAACAAAAAAACACCATGCTGACTCATGTTCTAATAAACTTAAATCGGTGAAAAGGCATTAGCAAGTATATCTTGCAAGAGCAAGAGAAGAAAAAAGCATTAATAAATATGCTTACAAGTACACTTTTCTATTTATTTTTCGCAATAGCAGGAATAAGGGGTAAGTTTCCAGTTATATGAGAGCCAAAGTGGTATGAGCCCTGCTGTGATTATAGATGCTGAAATTAAATCAAAGTGGTAAAATGATTTTACCATTTCACTATTCACAAATTGGTAATGGTGTAACTGGTGAATTGATGTAATTGGTGTAATTTGTGAATTGGTGAATTGGTAAAATGGTGAGTTGGTAAATTGGTGAAATGGTGATTGGAATTGTAAAGGATAATATGCCCAAATATTATCAAAATCTGTGGTTATGTAACAATCGGTTAGTAATCAATTAAGTAAATGCTAAAATTTCGATTTATATTAGCTATTTCTTGAACTGACATATAATACTTTCAAAATAAAAGTAAAAAAATTATTTATTTATAGAATAATTTTATTAAATCATATAAAAATTACAAATATTAAAATGTAGTATAACTCCATAAATAAATGCACTACATCAGATTTCTATCACAGTTTCCAGAATTTTTTTTTTATTCTTACATTGTCAACACTGTATTCATAGCCATCTTCAGCAGATTTTAATACAATTCAAACATTTTCTTTTTATCTTCAACACTCTATAGTAGATCCAAGATTGTATTTTCCAACAGAGTTACTACCTTTAGCAGATTTTAAATACCACTTTTTTCTATCTTTATTAATGTAAAAACTATTAATTTTGGTGAAAAGCTATAGTCTTTGATATTGTTATCAATATGGTATATGCATTGATATAGGATTGGCACTGCTAAAGACGTAAGAAAAACCTTTGAATAGTTTTTAAAATATGTAGAATACAATAATTTTATCTCAATAAAAATAGTATAGATGTTACAGAAGACAAAAGTATGACATTTGAACAGTATTCAAAATCTGCTAAAGGAGGTGATCTTAATGGCCTTGTGTTTTACAGTAAGTACCATCTTTAGCAGATTTAAAATAACATTCAAATACCTTCCTTACATTTTTTTTTCAGCACCACTCCTATAATAGAATCTAAAGTTCATTTTTCTGTCAGGATCACAACTTTCAGCAGATATTAAATATTGTCACGGATGATGGTGAAATCAGATGATCATGAAATCCACGTGACCCGGGACCCCAGGCCTCATCATGTCACACACGAAAGATTCCGAATATCGTGTAACATGATCA